CGTGATTTCTGGCCATGTATAATAATTATTAGTCAATGTTGGAATTTATATTTACAAAGCATGCAGGTATAAGAAGCAAATCACAACGTAAACCGATCTGGCGATACTTTATCTTCTTTTCACTAGTGATGGAAATATACAAATAACAGCAATATATGACTTGACATTACGAACCTTTTATGCACATTGAATAGGTCATAAACGTTTCTGTTTTAATTATAATTGTCGTAAAAATATGATCCAATGCAAAGTTGGGAGAATATTTTATGGCCGCGTGAGAAAACCATGCATGTGAATGGTGAATCCCAGTGATTTTGTGAACCTAATTAGTTTTTGTGGGGTTGAGGCTCAAGCTTTGAGAATGATCCACTTGCATGTTTGACATGTGTCCCGAGAAAATAGGCCTGCGCAATGTTTTGTGGTATTACATATCCAATTATAAACACAAAAATTAAAGATTAAATAGTGATCACAAAAGTACTTGATAAATATCTGCCAATAACATTTTGGACAGATGTACACACAGGATGTTGAAATTTGCTGAAGCGATTGTATTTAATAAGGAATAGCCGAAGTTGTTTTCGCTCAGTGTGCATGCAGCTAAAACTATTTCCTGAAAGAAGAGCGATATATATGTTGCTTCAAAGTAAAGAAATATATCTTCAACTTCTTGAACTGAATTGCCTTAATTATTAAACGGTGAGGATTTATTTTTAATTCAAATGTTGTATAATTGAAAAACATGCGCAGTTTCATTTTAATTAAAACAATTTCTATAGATGGTCCAATTATTATATATTACTATGAGACGTCCAATTCATACGCAAAAGTCTCATTCAGCATGTTGTCTTAAATAGGGCAAAACGATTTCTGATGGAGAAACATATTCACTCGGTTTATGACCATGCAGATTGCTGATTTTACTTTAATTCCATGCTGAATAAATAAGCTATGACATTAATTGTAAAATACATTTCGCTAAAATTTGAGAAGAAAGCTTTTTATATATTTTTGTGTTTGTATGATTACTGGATATTTACTATAGTACACTGACTATAGATATTATGCGCAAGGTTTTACGATTTATTTTAAGTGTTAGTAACAACAGGAATTGAAAGGGTAAAAAAAGAGAATATAGACGTTATTTCTAATATATATCTATGTTTTATAATTTATACATAATTTTATAACTTATATCTATTTTTTATAATTTATACATAATATATATATTCGTATAACGACCATGCGTGTGCATTACAAATTGATAGTTACTTGTGCATTCTCGGATTATCTTCGCGCAAGCGCATAACAAAGAAAACCGTCTAAGCTCCAACACCCATGATATAATGGTGGCCGACCTAAATAAATGTATAAAATATGCACCTGAAATTTCCATCCACAAAATCCTTCAATTGGCATGGTCGAACTGCTTGGCAAAAAACTCACACTTTTCTTAATAGTCACACTTCAAGACATATAAAACTAAATGTATACCAAGTATACCCTTTGAAAAGTATACCCTTTGAAAATCACTATGGATACTGAAAGACCCCGTTCCCCGATTTTTCTGGGTGGCTTAGCCCCGCTCACGTTTACTTCTGGGAAAGGGACATTGAACCCAACCGCATTTTCCACCGCGATGGTTGCATAAAACTACTAAGATTTAGGACGACAAATTACATCTTATACTTAATGTTAGTATTTTATCTCATTGGCTAATGCGCGTGCATTGTCACGCAATAATGCACTGTGTTCGGTGGCAGTGCCTTGCTCTTTCTGTGTTTTTCCTCCGCTTCATCTCTGCTTTTTGCCAAAAAATATAAACAAAACTATAGAGCTTTTAAAATACAAAATGTATCAGAAAGCACAAGAATAGGCCAAAGAAACAAAGCAATATTATCTACATCTCTACGTATAAAAACAGTATAAAATTTAACCATCTTAATTTAACTACATTCGTCGAATTTGTTTTTGTTTCGAAAAAGTTTCGGAAAGAAAAAACGGGGCAAAATAGTCGACAAAAATATACAGGAATACCAGAACATAGAAAAAGGCAACAAAAACTGAACATAAGTGATAGTTAGAAAGTGTCTTCAACGCCTCTAAAAACTGCTATAGATATATTTTCGGCGAAAGGCAAAATTACAATAATTTCAAAAATTAAAACTGAGCAACACGACGAAACCTATACGATTTATCAAATCAGTGTGAGTATTTTCTCCGCAATTTTAGCATCAAAATTTTGTATTGTTTTTGCTCCTTCGCTCGCTTGAAAATTCAAGCGACAGTAAAAGCATACATGCATGTTACGAGACTTTCAAAGTTGATCTATTCTTCCAACATTCCCCGCGTGCATTATCACACCATAAACACACGCGACTCGTTTTCTATTTCTTAATTAACATTAATTATAGTTAAGGTAAGAGAAATATAGCGGACGACTCGTTTCTTTGGGGATGTCATACATAAATCTATTTAACAAAAATATATAATTAAACAATTATTATTCTCTTCAAGGTCTAAAATTGAGTCGCCCCTTGTGAGGTAATCCGGAATCCGACTTTTTGTTGGTTTAGGAATCCGAAATCCAGAGTCTTGGAATCCGGAATCCAGACATTGGAATCCGGAATCCAAATAACTGAGGAATCCGGAATCCAGAGCCCAGGTTGTTCTGGAATCCATTCATGTCCTATTAATTTAGAAAAAAAACCCATAAAAACATAAAAAAAAACATTGCTAACCATCTCCTCTTTTATTTAACTCCGGGAAATATGTTCAGGCTCTTTCAAGTTTCATGACCAAATAGTCCAAATACATGAAATTTGAGAAACTGTTTGCGCCCGCTCGGATTCCGATTTACATTTACATTGGTTGAAGTCGGCAAAATCTTTGAGGGATATCGCGCCAACTATAAATTACTAGCGGGTGTATACACATTCTTATATACACATTCTCTTGGTGCTGTTTATAGACAATAGCGAGCTTAAGATGCACTAAATCTACGACGCGGTCGTGGACAAAAACTGTAACTATTTCCCACAGTTTCACTACGTACACGGATAAAAATTAAAGTCAGAGACACAAGTGAATTGGTAAACAAAGTCAGAGACACAAGTGAATTAAGCTGCATATAATAAAACTGGATTCCAAACATTAGTAACGGTTTTTATGTCACGTCCGCGTCGTAAGCCTTGGCCAATCTAGGAAACATTGTTGCGGAAACATTGTGACTCGCCATGTTTCCTCAAGTGTTTTTGTGTTTACCTACCCGTGGAAACATCGTTGCAGAAACACAATTTGCTTCCCGAGAAGCAGAAATGTTTCCTATCAAATTCAGAAACATTTCATGTTTCCCAAGTGCAATTTTTGTTTCGGAAATATTCTTTCTTAGTGTTTGTCCACCTTGGGAAACATGGCGAAACATTGGCAGGAAACAATGTTCCCTAGTTTGCCCAGGGCTGTAGATTTGGTGCATCTTAAGCTCGTGCATCCTGGTGCATCTTAAGCTTTTGAGTCGACTACGAAGCGAATTCTCGGACTTGGTCATGGGGAAACATTTCAAACACAGTAAGGAATCAAATGAGAAAAGGTGTGTATTATTTTCTTGTCAATCTTGTTTTATTTTATTTATATATACTCGGTACCCAGCCAACCAGACACTGACTCGTTTATACATTTACATTAGAATAAAATGCTTTTTTTTAATTTGGCATGAACTATTAAAACTCTGAAAGTCGTTTACATCAAATCGAGCCTGTCAAGCCTGTGTTTGATACAAAAATATAGTGATTTTTCGTTTTATTACTTCTCACTGAGGGAAGTAGCAACCGGGGGGGAGCTGTGTGGTGCAGCCCTCCCAATAATTTGCTAATAATTATTCTTTTTTTCAAAATCATGCAGACCTTTATCATTTAACCTTTAAAATACTGACAATTGATTAATTTTAAACGGCTACATTATCCATGACAGACTGCAAAGAATCATATTATCCATACTCTTTCCTGCAATTTCTCCAATATGTATATAGTTAATTAAATACGCCTTTGCCCATTTAGTACTACTAAATTGTAAGCAAATTGTAACTATTTCGCCAAACTAAAACACTATTTCCTGACCATCAGAATTCTGTCAAAACTTCCCCAAAGTCCAGGAAATGGCATTTCAGAAACTCTAATTTTAAAAATTTCCTTGGGCCTTCGGCCCTCGTTCTCTGCCTTCCAATCGAAAAGAGCTCCCTACGGCACTGCAAGCTCTGTAATACATGTATGCGTAAAACATGCGTATTTTGCAATTGTTTGTAAATAGCGTCTTCATTCTCCGGATAGCAAACACATTCGTGGCTTCGCATGCCATGAAATATTCGGAAAATGTTTTCGTCACTTCGGAAATTTTTGGCCTACGCCTCCCAACTATACATGCTAGCTACGGCTTTCGGAATCCGGAATCCAAGATGTGGAATCCGGAATCCAAGGAGAAGGATCCGGAATCCAAGCAGTGGGATCCGGAATCCAAATACCTCCTGGGTTACCTCACATGGGGCGAATTGAAGTTTTATAGACGCAGCGAAGTTTTATAGACGCAGATAAAATATATAAGTTTATCATATTAACTGTAATTAAAAGTTCATTTAGCTATTTCCCAACAAAATCCAATAGATGTTGATTTATATAAAATACTAAGGTTTTCTTTCTTTACAAATTGCCAAGTACTAGTAGTAGTAGTTGTTATCAAACAAAAACTGAGTCTAATCGACATGTTTGCAATTGCATTATATGTAAATCCTTGAGTAAATCCATTTACCAACTCGTAAATCCCTGGCTAAAGAAAGATGATTTGAATGTCCAGCCCTAAGTGCCCTTAACTTTTATAGTGGACAAATTTTAACAGTCATTTGCTCCTTGTCAGCTTGTCAAATTAGAATAAGGTAAAACTAAGGCTAATTCACTATTGCTTTTTGAGACACTGAATTAGGAAACAAGTTCGAATTCAATTTCAGGTGACAAATCATGAGAACTATGGCAAACGTTCTTTGGAATATCCTGATCTTTACAGCTTGGTTGGGTATTACAGCTTCTGCTTTCTCGCAAAATGACAAGGTGAGCTAATATGTGTATACTCTTATACATGTTAGAATTCAAGTTGTCCTTAAAATAATATTCGCTTGCATGTGGATCTTATTGCACATCGATATACATGGTTTCGCAACAAAATCTTTCAAAAGAATCCTGGCTATAGGAAATGTAATATATGTATTAGTGGACGTCTTTAAGGGAAACGAAATAATGTAAGTTTACTTTGTGTTTAAAATTCGTAGCCGATGAAGTAATGTACTAGAGACAATAGAAGGAGACTGCTATGTTAACGATCAATACAGCCGGCTTGTTATAATATAGCCTACTTATGGAGATTTTATATAATTAATTTCTATAGCCACTATATAATTTTGCCTAATGCGCATGCACGTAATTATTATGCTTTCATCATATTACATATAATTCAACTATGTGCCATTTAAAGGTTCAAAAACTAGAACAAGAAATCAAAAGTCAAGCAAAGAAAATTCAAAGTCAAGAAGGAACAATCCAAGGTAGCCAAACCAGACTGTTTTCTGTCATGCACAACTAATAGTTTGTCGCTTTAATTATTTTTGTTTGCTCAAACTCTGCTGTACAAGAAGGGCGCTTTTTCAACTTTTGGTATGTTGATTATAGCAAAAATGTATCCTATATCTAGACATAACAACATCTAGACAAACAAGTACATGCCAGACTCTAACATAATTTACTCTGCCAAGGCCGGAATGATGGAAGTACTTCGGCTTGTCATTAATAAGTTCGAATTCGTGTCATAATATTGGGGATCTGCATGTGGGTTAGGAGTTCAAGCCTTGTTTATCTCTTGAGCTTTAACAGCCTGAAAAACAAATCAGAAGCGTTGGAACTGAATTTTGTCCAAATTACAAACAAAGCCCTCAAACAAATTTCTTTTCTCTACCATAGTTGTTGTGTTTTGAAAACACAAATCTTATACTGTTTTCTCAAGGATTTTCGCAAGTGAAATTTAGAATTTTCACATACGAAATTTGAGTTTCAAATATTCTCTCTCGTGCGAAAGTTCATGTGTTAAAATTATAAAACTATTATTTCTCATGGGGACTTGGAACACCGTTCATATCGGTAAAAAGTCATTATCATATGTGAATTCTCATTTATGTTTCACAGGTATTGTAGACAGCATTAACCGCTTACATCCAACAGGATCATGTTCAATTTTGAAACAAAAACGGCCCTCAACTTTGAGCGGAGTGTACAAAATATATCTTAGAGGTCTTACCTCGTCAGTTAAAGTACACTGTGATATGAGCTCGAAGAATGGCGTTGGTGTGACCGAAATTGGACAAGACAGTGAATCAAGAACACGTGTGAATGGATACGAGGCTCCTGGTTCTTACAACCGTACGATCAAGTACGATTTACCGATGGAACAGATTGTTGCAATTATACAACAATCCCAGTGGTGCGAGCAGTTTATCAAATATGAATGTTATCATAGCAAGATGTGGATCTATTCCCAACCTTACAGTTGGTGGGTCTCGCGAAAAGGCGCGAAGATGAATTACTGGGGCGGAGCAGCAGTCGGCAGTGAAAAATGTGCATGTGGAATGACCAACAGCTGTGCAGGAGGTGAACGGCGATGTAACTGCGATAAAAATGACTTTAGATTGCGAGAAGACAGTGGATACTTGCGGGATAAGGACACATTGCCTGTTACTGAGCTGAGATTTGGAGAAACCGGTAGTAGCTCCGAGTATGGATATCACACGCTGGGAAAACTACGATGTTGGGGTTAATTGATAAAATTTACTCTATAATACACCAGTTTAAGGTACAGATTATGTAGCATTAGTGATGGCCTATACAGTATTCTACTTTAATTATATGTTGGAATATTTAGAACAATTTATTCACTCTCATTAACGGTTTTGATTAAATAATATTCACTTGTACAATGCATAACATAATATAGCGATTCATTTTACAATCTAATAGGTGGAACAGGAGACAGTCTAAAGAATAATGTAGGAACTTTCAAATGTAAATTATGTAATCTTCTTAGAAAAATCTATGTTGGCGTGAAAGTATGGTCATATTAAATGATAAAATGTAATAACATTAGTGATAGTTTGCAGAAAATTGCAGGGTGATTGTGTTCAAAGATATGATAACTACGACACTGACGTTATTATTAATACAGTTGCCTCCTCCGACAATGCATATGGCCAACTGACGTATAAACTCGGGATTTTGAACTTGTCCACTGCCGTCCCAAAATGCTTTGGTGCAAGAGAATAATCCAATTTAATAATTTATTGTTTTGGACTGATTTCATTCCACAAAACGCAATTGACGTCATATAGCATATATATAACACGATCTTACGGAGAAAAGACTGCATGGGCAACCTGCAGGATATCCAACTGGTCGGTTAGACCAATATAAAATTATTCAGATTTGTCTCTCAAAGATTCACCACCGCCTCGCAAATTTGAGTTCACCCTCACGTTTCACTTTATTTTCTCTCCTTACTTTTCTCGTCTTCAACTAGTTCGCTCTGCTGCTATATGAACGAGCCTCGTCATCGGTTGATTACGGCGATAAAAAAGCAATAAGGTATAGTCTTCACAAACACCGATCACGTTTGTTTCAGAAAAACAGTCACAAAACGTGTTCATCTTAGCAATGTGTTGAGATTTCATAACATATCTCTTCCGCTCAAAATCGCCGCCCGAAATTATAGCATTGTCAGGACCGCCGAGAATGGAATGTACAAAATAGCTCTCACTCGCTAGCGCTGACAGAATCTCAAAAAAAATGGGTGAAATATTATTTTAACGCGATCACTTGCATGCTTTTCGACTTAATATTTTGTATTGGTCGTAATTGTCTAGCTTGACGTATTCATGTTCGACGATATGAAATAGCTGGATCTATCTTGACTTCTGTGTGCTGCATGAAAATCAGTATTCACTGACTCTAGACTGATATATAACACTCTATTACGACTAAATGGAACTACCATGCTTTTGAATCTGACTCTCGGGTATAGGGCATTAAGTGTCAGCATAATACAGCATTTGCGTAAAACTACGTTCACGTATGTTTTGTTTCCGTTTTGAAAATGCATACAACTGTACAAGTGCAACTTTAAATGTTTTTGCATGCTGGAATGTTCCGCAGTAATAATTCCCAGTAGTTCTAGCAAATACATGCATGCAGAAACCTTGCTTTGCTGATATTCGATAATTTTATTAAGAATATTTTTAAAATTGGAAAATCCCCTAAAAATATCACTTTTAAATACAAAATTATCAATTTCCAAAATATAAGTAAACACAAATTTCACTCTCCCTAGCTCTAAAATCAGAATTTCTTGCTAATAGCCCGCTCTGGTAGTCCGATATAGCAAATGAATGACAAACTGACCTGGCAAGGTAAGCTAGGCCTAGCCTGGTTTACCGGCCCAGCATTGCTTAATATTTAATGCATATGTAATTGGCATTTATCAGTTCATGTGACTGGAAATAGTCACAATACAGTTCTGACTATCTTTATCTAATAACGTGTTATGGGTACATCCTCGTACTAATCATTTAAAATTATTTGTCATTGGCAAGAATAATATGATGCAATAATTATATGTGCATCCTTGCCTGTTGTATTAAACAATATATTTAATGATTCAGAATCTGTTTTGAAACGGTTTTATATATAAAATAACCGACTTTCATAATTTAAACATTAGTAAATAATTATGATGTAAATATATAACTTAATTATTGAAAATTAGTATAAAAAATGTGTCAAACTGGGTGATTCCAGAAACCATCCACACCTCCCACACTCAAGAAATTGAGTGGGTTACCCCTTTGGGTATCCTTATACACTTACTGTTATCAGAAACAGGTTTTCTCCCTCCCCACTGGATGGCACAATTTTCCTTCTTTAAGGGAAGTGTAGATCCTTTCTGGAACAACCAAATGTCATGTCATTAAACCTTTTTTTGAAACATGTTCACCAACATTTATGTTTGCTGTTGCGTTGTTGCATTAAAGTAATCATTTGTTGCTGCATTAATTAAACCACATTATTCCTGATGTTCTTATTGCTGTAGCTGTTGCTGTTGCATTTGCTGCTTGGTATACCGCTCAGACAGCTTCATCTGCATGCTGAATTGCTGTTGAGTTTGCTGCATTATTTGCAACATTTCAACATGTTGCATTTATTGTGCCTCCATGTGCTCTCTCTTCTCGGCCTACTTTAACTCCTTTTCTACTTTCTCCACTTCTATCCTCGCTTGTAGCCATTGCACCATCTCCCCTGATCTTCTTCTCTTTTGTACTGGTCCACCACTTTCACTCGTCCTCCACTTCTTTTTCATGTTTGCCCGAACCGCTCCATTGCTCTTTCCCTCATTTCCAGTGCTTCTCCTCTTTCTTGTTTCATCCTCTGATTTCTCGCTTCATTCTCACTTTCCAACGTTAGGCTGTCTCGTCTTTGATATCAATGAGCTTTTCTGCTCTGTCAGTTCGGTAATACCTTCGTCTGTTGCTCTTTCTTCTTGGCCCATTATAGCTCGATATTTCTTGGCAACAATGTTATAGCTACTGTATCTCTGACTGTCCTTGATGTAATTTCGTGGCCCAATCTGCTGATGTTATATGCCACTGTGTGCCACGTTTCCTGGATCTCTGCTTGTGGGCAAGAATACTTTCTGCGGCAACTTCCTTTAGGACATAGTTAATAGAGGACAGGGTTTGGAAGGCCGGCAAACTTCAAAGGCTTTCGAGCTAATTAATTTCAGATGTTGGAAAGGTACGTCACGTGACATTTCGGGTGCATCAAATTCAGAAATTACTATAGCGTAGTACTACAGAAATATGCTATTGTGCTTATAAATTTTAAAATAAGGCATTGTTGTTCTTGTTATGGCTTCGACAAGTTCGGCATACGATTCAGAAAGCAAAGTTCACCCAATTCTGGGTGCTGGAGACGCAGATACAACGACGGAGGCGATTTTCATCAAACTATTTAGCTGCTGCAAATCAACGCGGATGAATTAACTGAAGAAATATCGCGTTCAGTTGAAGAAGTAAGTCCTTTATACCGTGTCCAATTAAACAATATGTAGTGAGATACCTTAGACTTAATATTTTACCTATATTTGTCGTTTAGATTGAAGGATTAAAGCAATTCCCGTGCGGATATCGACGCAGTATTAAGCACTCGACAAATTCTACAGCTAGTACTGCCAAAGGGAAAATCAAAACCCATGTTATATGACTTATCACGCATATGAGAAGGCATTGTCGATCATTCGAGAGGTAGGGAAAAGGAAAGAATATGAGAAGAAGAGAAGAGAAGATATTAAAAAGTCGTGCTTTTGATGCTGGTGAATATGCCCGAACGGTTGACTTTGCTATTACCAGCAGATATTGTAAAGTTATTATAAACACTGAAGAAACTGCATGCTTTAATACCAGTAAATATCTTAATGCTGTATTATTATGTAGACAATATACTGTAACCTAGATATGAATGTCTTAAATAGTAGGTATTGACCAAATATACAGTGATCATTCTGTCACATCAAAATAGAATGTTATTCCAAGATTCCATGATATTTCATGCCCATCCCACAGTTTCCAAGACCAAGTCTTATAATATATTAGACAAAGGAGATATCAAAGGAAATATCATACAGAGAAAATATCAAATTTTGATATTTCCTCTGTATAGTACAATATTGACCTAAGAGTATTAAACTTAGTTCTTATTTCTCTCCAAATGCTTTGTAGACCAACTGTTGGATGCCAGAAGATTTTACCTATGTGCAAAGGATTAATATATACCTATACCCAGAAATATTTTTTAAGTATTCTGCTAGTAATTATCAGTGAAATCAGAAGAGTTTGGACCACCCAGCTTATGTTGCTGGGGAGGGGCCATCAGCCCTGTGGGTACCAAATTCATGACTTAATGATATTGCTAGAATTGCTGAATCGTGCTTTAGAAAGCACACAAGAATTAAGGTAAACCTACTTCTTTACACGTTGATAAAGTTATTAAGAATGTCCAAGCTCCTCCATTAGCAAAAAGTTTGTGGAATGACATTATTGAGCAATCTAATAGCATTGCAGTATCAAAAGAATGCCAGTACGTCCTTGGGTTTTGAAAATATTGGTAAACTGTATGGCTGTTAAGTTTCAAATTTTGCCATTTGTCCTGCTCCAGCCCGATTTCTGGTTCTGAAAAGCCCGATTCTCAGCCAAAGAGTGCACGCCAAGCAGGCTGGTCATTTCATTGTTTAACTGCCCACACTCAAAGGGCACTTTTTGCATCTTCTGAAAACTTGGGGGGCCTTGGCTTCCTAGTTCCTATGCCACTGGTTGACAGTAAATTTCAGATGTGAATAGTGTACTTATTCACTACGTCAGTGTGCTCTGATTCTAGCCGTTGTTGTCTCTCAAACCATGATAACTCAAAGTTGAGCCTACCAATGTCTTGTCTATTTGAAGTGAAACAAAATTTTGTGTAATAGTGATTTACTGTATATATTAGTATAAATTTTTACAAATTATTCAACTAAGGTAATATATTGTTCTTGTCTTATTGTTCACCTATTCATTTATGATCTGTTTTAATAATTATTTTATAACATATGTACAAATTCACTGAAGGGCTTGAATCCGGGATTTTCCATTAATTTTAGTTTATTGTACGATCATCCAGATTAAATATGTACAAATTATTGCATATTACTCTTTTGAAGCAGTGCTGTCATTAAGTTTACAAGTAGGTGGCTGAAAAATGATTGAACACTGAAGGCACAAGACTCCTAGAGGGGTCTGGGTGCATGCCCCTAACCCTGAAATCTAAACAATTGGAAATGCCATTCCCTGCATTTGGGAAGGTATTTTACACATTCCCTGCATTTTGGAAGGTATTTTACAGACTTCTTAAGATTACAAAACATCCTATCAGAGCCTGACCTGTTTGAAATCATTTAATCTTTTGTTTTAATTTTGATGTTCTCACTAGAGGAAGTAAAAGGTTTGTTTATTGCTTCACAGTTTTGTTTATATAAACTTTGTTCAGACAGAAGTAGGCAAGCTACAGGCCCTTAATGACA